AACCCTGAACGAACGGAAGCCATAATAGAAATTGTCGCACGCAGGTATGCGTGCTTGGACTGTGTACAGCAACATGTGAGCGGTTCATTAACTGCAACTGGCAACACTCTATCCTCTAGGTTCAAAGAAGGGAGAGGAGTACGTGCTGGCAGACATTCACATTAAAGCAAAGAACTCAGGAGTACTCTGACAAAGGCTTCCAGTGATATCCTGCTCTTCGGTGTAGGTCTGACCAAGTAAGTCAATTCTACATAGAAATCAGATAAAGTGAGCAGCAACTGAAGGCCAAAAGACCCGACAACGTACTGACAACATCAACCCATTATTGCAGATGAGGTATGTCATCAATGGAGAGCTTTTGGAGTGGCGCTAAAGTCCTGAGTTGGACTCAAGTCGTCACTTGCCATTCAGATGGCGACTGGTTTAGCACTTTGCCATAGCTGAATCTCATTAGTTCATCTATGAATTGCTTAGCTGCGCTGCTATCAGTAAAAAAGATAAGCTAACTAAAAATTAGCACCTATCCAGCTTTTTCTTGCCCCCAAGTCTGATGGGTCAACACGTTTGATTCCTTACCTCAAGACACTTTGTCTGTTTATACTGATATAACACTTAAGTCTAGGCTATTGAGCTGGGATCAGACTTCTCGATAGAGATACTTAACGAATCTGGATTTGGAATATGCAGGGATTTTGGTACCCGTTAGGGAGAGTCACAGAATATATACTAAGTGACATATAAATCCGAACACCCAGTTTAAATGGTTTTATTTTAATAAAATTTTGTATAAGTACTTAATGAAGCATAATAAGTAAATGAACAAAATTTCAAAATGATTGCACTGCTTTAAAGCCCCTTGACCTTTAATAATGTGTGGATGCAACCTGATGTGCTACGCATTCTCCAACGCGCCTAGGCATGCTTCTGATCAGGTGGTCAATGTCCTCCTGTGGTATCTCATTCCAGGCAACCACCAACTCCTCTCGAAGTGCTGCTAGAGTCTGAGGAGGAGGTTGCAAATTGAGCAATCTCCTACCCATCATATCCCACACGTGCTCAATTGGGGATAAGTCGGGAGATCTTGGTGGCCATTGTAACAATGTGACATCATTATGTTGAAAGAAGTCTATTGTGACTCTTGCAACATGTGGTCGGGCATTATTTTGTTGGAAAGTTGGATCTGCCAGATTGTCAAGATAGGGTAAAAGATGGGGTTCTAGAACTTCGTGGATATAACGCTGCGCGTTCATGTTACCTCTGACGAAGATTAAAGGTGACCTGGAACCGTAAGCTATAGCACCCCAAACCATAACTCCAACAGTGTGATGAACATGTCTTTCAACAAAAAACTGTGGATTCCTCCTTTCACCACGTCGCCTTCTAACCCTGGCACGACCATCGTGCATGCTTAAACAAAATCGAGACTCGTCACTAAAGACAATACTGTTCCATTCCTGATCCCAGAGTGACCGTTGTCTGCACCACTCAAGGCGATTACGTCAGTGTACTCGAGTTAAAGGGAGGACCCAGTGTGGCCGGTATGAAAACAAGCCAATACTTCTCATTCGTCGGTAAACACTTCGCATGCCAATAGGTCTTCCGTATTCTGCAAACCATTCATTTGCAATGACCTGGTAGTGGAGAAACGGTCCCTTAAGGCCAATAATCTTAGGCGGCGATCTTCACGATCTGTTGTTCTACGGCGGCGTCCAGTGCCCCTTGCTCTTTGCGTACGGCCTTCTCGAAGCCATGCCTGACAACACCTAACCACAGTGTCTACACTTCTTTGCACTCTAACTGCAATTGCCTGAAAAGAAAGTCCAGCTTCCCGAAGTCCCACTATACGGCCCCTATCAAACTCACTAAGTTGTTGACGAAATCGTACAGGTCTCCGTACTCTAGGCATCGTAACCGATCGTAAAGGATGTCAAGAACCAAAATCCGCCTACGTTGATTCTTTACTGCGGCTGAAATACTCATATTTAGAGCGTTAGTGAATTAAAAAAAAGCAGTATAAAAACCGGAATGTCCAACTGATAAGGCTGAAAATTTTGTCACTTGTTATTTACAGTAAGATAAATACATTCACCAACTTTTATTAAAATAAAACCATTTAAACTGGGTGTTCGGATTTATATGTCACTTAGTATATTTCAGATTCATATTCAAGGGACAGCTCTTCCAATACAATTTTGTACCGTTTAGGGTAAATTATACCCCTTATGTGTTCACAAAGTTAATAAAGCCATTCCTGGAATACCTCAAGAAAAAATTGAGCACTTTCAGGCTCAGTATTAAATTGTGACAGAAAGAAACTTTACTTGAGCGGACGATGCAGACACTGCTGAACCTAGTAAGGGCAATAATGGACATCAACCAAGACAGAGTCCGAAACTTTGCGGTGAACCTCGGGATCTTGGTGTCAGTTTGTCTTTCATTTCGTTACAGCCGACTTTACACTAATGAGTGAAATTTCTTGCCTTATAAAATTCTCAAGGGAATTTCAACGCTACTATGTCACTAACATAGTATAAGTTAATGTCTACCTCGGCTGGGGCTCAAAGAAACTGGCAGATGCGGTCAAAGGTATTGAGTTATCAAATTTTTAGTTGTATAATTTCTTGGACTGGGACATTCGTTGGGCAGGGAGGAATCTCTAGTTTTTGGTAATCAAGAACCACTGGTAGTTTTCTTCTGTGGTGAATGATTTGCTACCAAATTGATGGGCTGTCGCATGTTACAGGTATACTCCACCCTACATCAATAAAATGGAGAACCACTAGTTTCCACGTCTGGATCCGGTTGCGGGAAAACTATGGCAACTGTATAAAGAGAGAAATCTTACTTCCCTCGCGTCAAATATAAAATCTAGGAGTTATACTGGTACAGATGAGCTTTTGCGGCAGTGGGACGTGGAAACTGAGTGGGAGATGCACCTGTCACCGTCCTAATTTTGGTTCGAGTATTGGGTGTTTCTGAAATTTCACTTCTAGAAGTAACGCAAGGATCTGATGGAAGGACCCAGGACACCGCTCCCACTAATTCTGAAGCTTACCCTGGTTATCGTCACTAGAAAGCTGTCATTCCAATCAACATCGATAATCGATCATGAATTGTGGGCTTATATTACGGTAGGACCTTTGTCGGGACGAAATACATGTCTGGTTTCCTACCTTGAAATTTCTTACCTTACATGTGAGAAGAGATCAAGATATAATTATTTGAGCTACCAGTCTTTTACCCAAAATGTTAACTACCGATGCAGAAATATGATGGGCAGTTACAAGCTAAGGCCATCTCAACTGAAATACAGGTATAGATACTGTGGTTGTTCTCAACCAACCAAAGGGGTTGCTGGTAAGCTCTGTTGATATTTGGATGAGGAAATCAGCAACACTGCTAGCTCTAACCTCAGGACAGAGTGTGCAAACTAACTGAAACAGACAACATCCGGATTGGGTTGAATAATACTGAAATTGGGATTTCTCAGTTTTTGAAAGTCTCGGGGTCACTCATATGCCTCGGCTCCCAAATGGATGAAGTCGGTTTTAGCAGAGAGTGTCACAATTGACAACCCACAGAACATGAAATGCGTCTACCTCTCCGCCAGCTAAATTATAGTGGTCTCAGGCTCACGGCGGGCTGGGGTGCGTTTTCTGAGATACATCACAAATCTCTTATGCCAAACAACAGTTTTGCTCAAGAGGCATTTGAGGTGAACCAAGTCTCCACACCTTAAACATAACTACGTGATGACGTTATTTGCTCATTGCCATGAAATGGTAATTTTTGAACCAGGTACGTCATATTAGGATTAGGACGGAACATAGTTACATGATCAAACGAACTTACCTGTAAGTGATGTTCGATCCTAATTATGTGAGGTCCTCCTCAAAGTAAATAGCTCCCTCTTTCCCTATGTATTACCCAATTGTTGCAACAACTTGGCTTTGAAGTAAATGAAGGTTTATAGGCGGCCAGAGGAGATAAAGGTAGGGGGAAGGGGCGCGGTGCCGCTTTCCTTCTCTGCGTGCGCGCTTTAAAATCATGGCGGTTGGGTACTACTACGAGGGTACTACGATATGTATTCTAAATATTTACTTCGACGAGGACTTCATATAATTAAGGTCGAACATCACTTACAGGTACGTTCGTTTGATCAAGTAATTAGCTTGTTATTAGTGCTGTTGGAAAGGCAATTGGGCAAGTCATTTACATACAATAAGAATAACAGAGGGCCGAGGACGGAGCCTTGTGAAACACTATGCAAATTGTGGTAATTAAGGATTTGCAGCCATTGTATTCCACGAATTATTGTCTATCAGTTAGGTAGGATTTCAAGAGCAGTATGCTGCTACTGCTAAGGAGTAAAATGATAGCTTTAAGAGAAGAATGTCGTGTTGTAAGCAGTCAAAGGAAAAGAATTAGCATCTATACGCTGTTTATTTTATTTTTTTTACTATAACGAAGAAATTATTTATAGCAGATATAGTCGATAAACTGTGTCTGAAGTCATATCGAAAAGAATTTCAAAAAATGTCTGATTCCAGATTATGTCTGAATTGGCATTTTAGTAGGATTTGAAAACTAGAATGACTTTGGCTATCTTGAGGGCTGCAGGAACAGTATTTGATTTAATGCACAAATTGAACACCTTAGTGAGGGGATAGATTATGATAGTTAGTAGCGTTTTCGCAATCTTATTGTTGAAGTTATAGATGTCAGTGCTTCTAGAATTTTTGAAGCTAGGTTTACCTACACACCACGCGGTGTCCGATTTGGATGTTGTCGCATATTGCACTTACCACAAAATATCGTGCCTTTTCAGCAGGATGCAGGGTCGGACTATCCCATAAACATTTTTCCGGAACTTAGTATACCGGTTCCTTAAGCCTTTACTCTGGAAATTTGCTCATTGTCGATATATACGCTCTATAAAGGAAAATCCCAACTTTAAGGATTGAGGAGTTTAGTTTTTTGAATACTGTTTCTTGTTTCAGATTCGATGCAATCCTTATGCAAGAACCACTTCCTGCAGAACCTGTACCGGAAAATCGACGGTGCTTTGCTGTGGTCGCAGAATGAACGCAACCTGGAGTGCGTGATCACCTTCCAGACGCATTCGATCCTGCAAAGGTTCATGCTCAGATTCGATTTCCTGCAATTGGACTGCAACGACCACCTGTACATTTATGACGGCGCTCATGCTGTCGGTACTTATAAGGTACTAACTGTCAGTTAGGGTAACCACTATTAATTAAAAAATTAAGTAGCCCCTGACACTCTGTTGGGGCTATACAGTGTGCTACTAATAATAGGCGACCTTGATCATGACCTTGATAACTACTACCTTCAGTGTCATTTGGAAGATATCTGCTTGAATTGAATCGTATCTGCTTGATCTCATACATTTACATTCAGAACTGACCTTACCCTTTAAGGTCAACAAAATTTTAAATAAAGCCGTAATGTATGGCCTAAAGGCAAGAAGGGCAAAGAATGTTCCTGTGCGACCTTGACATTGTAATTAGTTAACTAAATATCTTTGGAGTCATGGCAACGTTCCTAATCAAAGTTATTCCATAACACAAAGCTTTCCACTGTTTCCATCGGTGAGGTCAGGGAGGCATGGTTGTATTTAAAAGGCTTTTGTCAAGGTTTTTTAACAATATAATGTTTTTCGCTCTTTCGATCGGTAAGCTCAAAAAGAACGGTTCCATTTTTATGTTGACCTATCTGACTCACATGGTCAAGATCATTTCCGAACATAACAGCCTCTCCTACCACCTACGGGATCGAACTCATAGCACTTATTATAGAATCATAAATTTAACCTCTATTAGAACTTGAAGGTCTAGGTAGAGGTCATTTCCAAATTTTCCGCTCTTTTCCTCGATGAGGTAAAAGAGGTTCTATTAAAAATGTTCAAGTTGAAGGTTATTTTCAAGGACATGATCAAGGTTGCCATAATATTGTCCTCACAAAACCCTGGAACTTTTATCTTTACCAAATAGGTAGAGGGAGCAAAAAGTTTGAGAACGCCTTGATTGTTATTTCTGTTAAATTTACTTTGGGAATGTCATGAAACCTCAACTTCTTTCAGTTCGACCTATCCTGTAAGAATACTAAGCAAAACCTAGGAGCTATGTTCACCCGAACAAATTACGTAACATTAAAGTATGTGACAGACGCGTGGGGTACCGAATCAAACGGATTCAAGTTGGTTATCACAGCTGTCAAGGATCCAAGTAAGTATCTAACACTAAAAAATGGCGTTTTCGTTGGAGGTTTTCGAAGAAAATGGATGAGTCAAATCATTTCAAAAGGCGAAAATGAAACGTGATTACAGTTCATTATCAAAACTGTTTACAGCAATGGAATGCGAGGAGTATTGCCGACTTTTTTGAAGAGAGACCGCTATAGTGGCGAGACGATTTCCAATTCAGAAGGGGTTAAAAAGTAGAGTTTTCCTCAACATTTTGTAACACTTGTCATCATTAAACAGAAATAGTTAGAGCAGTGACCTGTAACTGATTAATATAAGAAAAAACGGATTGATTTGTCACAACATTAATGCAGCTCTCACCTAGCCCATGTTCGGTCTATCCAGGACCCACCACGGGGAGTGAATGCATATCGAGACCGTCCCTCCCTCCACCCGTCTTTCAGTTTCAACAAAATGGAAAATAAATATGATTAATCTCTAAAACTGAAAAATACAAATCACAAAAATAAAAAGTTCTGAAACTGGAAGACGTAATAAAGATAAATTCTCATTATTTAAAAATTAAAGCAAATATAAAAGGACTATGAATAATAAATAACGCAAATATAAATAAACAAATTAATAAATAAATAATCCATTGAACAAATTAGTCAGCGGCGCTGCGCTTTTATGGCCATTATTCGAGCAGGAACTGTCACTGTCGGTGATGTCGCTATCATTGTCGTCATTTAAGTTAATTATGACTGGTTCGATTATCCGCCTTGAGGTATGGTCCAATTCCCAGAACTTTCCCTCTTAATAGACTACGTGCCTTAAGCAATTCTGCCACGAGTTATATCAGCCGTTCCTGCTGATACGATAGGAATACTGCCGACGATGCTACTAATTTCCTAGAAGACCTAGAGTTTACTTTATTGTTCTCAACACATTTTATAGTCAGTCAGATTTAAGCCTTTGTACTGTTAACATCATAATAACATTGTAATAATTTTGTAAAAGTACAGTTTTGAGTTTTGTATTTTTGAAAAATAAACTTTTTAAAAAGCGATCTCGAAGCATCGATCTTATAACTGGCGCAGTCAATCCAGTAGGATCAGAAATACGCGACCCGGGAAAGACTTTCACAAACCGTCGCGACGGGACTTTTCGGGACTCTATCCGGCCTTTTTGGACTTGGTGGCATTCGTGTAGTGGCAGTGAGCACTGGAGTGGATTCATATTTTTGGATACCCAATCCATCGAGGAACCGGCGTGAACAGCTACATACGAAGGGCATCGGAATTTGGGACCACATTGCCCAAGTTCGCAAGGATTCCAGCCTGGGGAAGACAACATTGCAGAACCAGCTAGGATCTTTATAGGAGTAAGAGATGCTAAAGATCGCTTTCTTAGTGTTGTAAGTGCAGTTTATTTTTTTCCATTTATCGCTTCAAATTTCAATGAGTATTGATAAATCGCAAGCCCTTGAGAATTTGGACCTTAATACTGACTCTCCAAATACTCGACGGTACTCTAATATACTACGTGAGCCCATACTTTCACAAGTCCCTGTACATTCAATACCTACAAGTATTACTACAACTATGGCTACTTTTAGGCCCGAATACTTAAGTTGTGTGCCCGAATTTGACGGCAACAGTAACGATCTCAATCGATTTTTGCGTGTAAGCAAATCCTTGATTGACAATTTTTATGATCATTCCAATCCAAACAATTTTCAAAATACATTTTTATTGAACTCCATTCTTTCAAAGCTGAGAGGACATGCCAAATCTTTAATAAACATTCATTCAGTGAACACCTGGAGTGAACTCGAAACTTTATTAGTTACTAGTTTTTCTGACCAACGTGATGAAGTGTGCTTACATAGAGACCTTTGCTTACTAAAGCAATATCAAAATGAGAGCCCTCAAAAATTTCACGAAAGATGTTTGCATATTTTAAACAATCTGTGTAGCTACGTTAATATCCACGAAGCTACCGAAAGTGGTAAAGCAATAAAACGCGATTTGTATCAAAAACTTGCGTTAAAGACTTTCCTTTCAGGCTTGAAAGAACCATTGGGCACCACTGTCAGGTGCATGAAACCAACCTCCTTGAGCGAAGCTCTTCAATTAGTGATTGAAGAACAAAATGTGCATTATTTCCAAAACGTTTCATATAGAGTTAAGACAGATTCACAGAATTTTACAAATTTTCAAAATTCGCAGTTCAGACCTGCACGCCCAGTTAATATGCCTTATCAAAATTTTAATTCTCGTACGCCTAATAGCTTTTTCCGTGCGCAATTCCCATCTCAACCCATCCAAATTCAACCTAGGCCAAACTTAAATCAGCGTTTCCCGACTAACGCTGAAGTCTTTGGCAACCAACAAACAAAGAATCCGAATACAAACGTTTTTAAGCCCAATTCTTCAAATCCAAGAAATCTTCCCAGGCCGACACCGATGAGTGTCAGCACAAGAAACACAACACGTCCACCATTCGCTCCAATTCCGGCGAACACACCTCGACCTCAGCAAAATTTTATCTTCGAGGAACTGTATAACACCGAGTTAAATGATAACGCAACATATGAAACTTATGATACAGGCAATTTTGCTACTAACGTCGAAAATAATTACGATGAATTCTATGATGACCCCAACCAAAATATTTGTCAATACGATCATTACAATACCGATCAAAATAATGAACTTGACATGCCCAACCCAACCTCGACGTCAGGAAATGAAAATTTTCCCCCAGCCAGCCAGGTTATTCAACCGACATAAACAGTGAAATTATATCGTTCAATGCTAGCAACACAAAAGGATTGAGCTATATAGTTTTTCCCGAATATGACATAAAACTTTTGATTGACTGCGGGTCTACTAGGTCATTTATAGATCCAGACATCGCATTCAAATATTTTCCACAACAAATCAAAAATGAACCATTCATTGTTTCGACTGTATTTCAGAAATCCGCCCATAAATTCAGTACTTTAATGCCAGCATCCAAAATTTTCAATTTGCCTCATCTAAAGGAATTAAAATTTTACTTGTTCAAGTTTCATGATTTTTTCAATGGTTTGATCGGTATGGATAACTTAGAAGAATTACAGGCAAGACTCTTATTTCAAGAAGGGTTTCTTGTGACACCGTATGCAAAAATCAAGTTGCTTTATCAAAAACCTAAGAATAATTTGAATTTTGTTACCATCGAACCTCGCACTGAGCTTGTCATAAAAGTTAAAACATCCATAAGCGATGGCGAAATTATTATACCCCACCAAAAAATCCATAATTGTGAAATACCGGAATGCTTGACTATTGCGAAAGATAGTTATGCTTTGACGACCTTACTGAACAATACGACAGATACCGTTACACTCGACTTTTCTGAACCCCTTTCTGTTTAACCATTTTACCAGTCTATACATCCGACGATATGTCGAGAATTTGATCTTAATAATATCAACGATTCTCCAGCCAATAAACTAGACTATTCCAAAATTAGAGTAGACCACCTAAATTCAGAAGAACAGTCCGCAATCCTCAAACTTTGCAAAGAATTTTCAGATATATTTTATCGTGAAGGCGAACCACTAACTTTCACAAACAAGATAAAACATCAGATTCGAACTACTGATGAGATCCCAATTTATTCCAAGACCTACCGGTACCCCTTTGTTCACCGACAAGAAGTAAATGACCAAATTCAAAAAATGTTGAAATCGAAAATTATTAGGCAAAGTAATTCGCCATATTGCTCGCCCATTTGGGTTGTGGCTAAGAAGATGGATGCCTCTGGCAAACAGAAATGGCGCGTCGTAATAGACTATCGTAACCTTAACGATAAGACTATTGATGACAAATATCCACTTCCCAATATAAACGACCTGCTGGACAAACTAGGAAGATGCCACTATTTCAGTACGTTGGATCTTGCTAGTGGTTTTCACCAAATAGAAATGGATGAGAAAGACATTGAAAAAACAGCATTTAACACCGAAAATGGCCATTGGGAATTTTTGAGAATGCCGTTTGGTCTTAAAAATTCACCAGCCACGTTCCAACGAGTGATGGATAACATCCTCCGAGGAATTCAAAACGAAAAATGTCTCGTTTACCTCGATGACATTATCGTATTTTCGACGTCTCTTCAAGAGCACTTAGAAAGGCTACGGTCTGTCTTTACCCGACTACGCGAATCTAACTTTAAAATTCAGTTAGATAAATCCGAGTTTCTAAGAAAAGAGGTTGCATACCTCGGACATATAGTAACTCCTGAAGGCGTGAAACCTAACCCCGACAAAATCTCAGCAATACAAAATTTCCCTATACCAAAAACTAATAGGCAAATAAAAAGCTTTTTAGGACTCTTAGGCTATTATCGGCGATTTATTCCAAATTTCGCTCAACTCACGAAACCTCTCACTAAGTGCCTCAAAAAAGGCGCAAAAATTGTTCACGACGACGAATTTGTATCATGTTTCGAAAACTGTAAGACATTACTTACCAACGACCCAATACTTCAGTACCCAGACTTCACAAGACCGTTCAATTTGACAACTGACGCAAGCAATGCAGCTTTAGGGACAGTTCTTAGTCAGGGTCCAATCGGTAGTGATTTGCCTGTAGCTTATGCGTCACGAACCTTAAATGATTCGGAAAGAAATTACAGCACTACCGAAAAAGAGTTGTTAGCTATAGTGTGGGCTACCAAATATTTCAGACCTTACCTCTATGGGCAGACCTTCAATAGTATAACAGATCATAAACCCCTCCAGTACCTTTATTCATTAAAGGAAGGCGTTTCCTCAAAATTAATGAGATGGAAAATGAAACTTGACGAATATAATTTCAAAATCATCTATAAAAAAGGCAAACTCAATACAAATGCTGACGCTCTTTCTAGAATCGAAATTCATACTAAGGAAACTAACGATTTTTGGGAACAACTCGATGACCTCCTTGGAGAAGCCTCCAACTATCAGAATCAAAGAATTACCTTTGTAGATCAAAATTTAAACACACCTCCCACGACACAAGCTAATCCAAATTCACCACTGATAATTCAAGATATTAGCTACCCCAATTTAAACCCTGAACTAGACGATATCTCAATGATTG